ACACACGTCAACCCCTCGTCGACCGCCTCCCTCTCTCTTTTCTTGTGATCGTCTTCTTTTGACTCGAAACCCCAACCGTCCTCTGAGCTTCTGCGCCCTTGTCCCCTGACATTGTTTCTCGAGACAGAAGAGCGAGAGAAACCAAGCGGAACAAAAAGACGAAGATCAGATCAGATCAGTACTCGATCCAGCTCTGACGTCGAGGCCGCTCCTCTGCAGCACCCCCCCCAATACATCCATCAAACAGCCCACGCTTGTTCAATACGCACCATCAAGACGGGGCTGCTCGTAGTTACAGTTACACCCATCCGTCCACCAACAACAAGCCTGATCGTTGTTCGTCGACAGCTTCACTGTGCTTTCGTTGTGATGAACAACATGAACCAACAGTTCAACAACGTCGACGAACTGCAACGTCAACTGCAAGAACGTGAACGAGAAGTCCACGCGCTCAAGGCCCAGCTCCACCTGGCATCCCAGACTCACCCCCAGTCTTCGTTTGCCAGCCAGCAGCCGCACTATCCTGTTGAGCACAGTGATTTCCCTGTAGACTTTGTCAACGTCCCGAGAAACGTGCCCGCGCAACAATATGCCGTTCGCTCCGTGGGTAAAGTCCAGCGCAGCAAGTCCACCATGGGACATGCGCCGTCATCCATGTCGTCAGGCCGTCCGATGGTATGTCACCCCGTACCCCTCTCGGCCCTTGGGAGTCGCCCACGCTCACTCACCCGTTCCAGGACCAGAGCAGCGAACGTCAGCACCCCGTGAAGCGCCCCAGAGTCATGTCTCAACAGTACACACCATCGCCTTCCATGACCACCAGCATGTCACGAAGCGGCTCCAGCCAGTCGTCGCGAAATGTGCCATTTATCGCAGCTGGGCCCATCGCTCCTCTCCAGAGCTCCAATACAGCCCACACGCCGCACAGCGGTTTCACCCAGGCCCGAGACGTCTCCTCTGGCAACTACGGCTTTGCCACGTCCCTCCAGCGGTCAAACACAACTCAGCGCCGCTCATTTCTGCAAAGCGTCGAGGAGCACGGCTCTCTTGATGGTGTCGGCATCCACCCATTGGCCTATCTGGAAGCACACGAGACCACCGACGCCGTAGCATCTTCAAATCCAAGACCCCCGCCTGCACAGAACTACGCTCTATCACACAGCAATCGCGGCTCGGGCTCTAGCCTCATGATGTCGGCTTGCCCGTCCATGACGTCGGGGCCATCTGCCGCAGAATCGGCAGCGTTGACCCGAGACAACAGCTCCTTCGACAGTGCTCTCGTCGGCGCATTCGATATGGCCAGGCTCGACTCGACGCACTCCCAACAGACTGACTTATCTCTGGAGCAGGAGTTCTACGTCTCGTTCCAGGATGACACTTGCGAAAAGAGCGGCGAACCGATGTCCTACCTAGGCGACGGCTTCCTTGACCCCTTGTCCCAAGATTATTCCACCTCTGCCCACAGTGAGCAGTTCCTGTCTCAAGAGTCTATTGGCATGGAGCGATCCAACAGCTCCACCTCCACACAGTCCAGCGTGGAGCGCCGTGCACGCGAAGCCCGTCGACGCCACAACCAGAATGCCACGAGGCTGCTCGCAGCAAAGCCCGAAGCTGTCGTCAAGAGTTCTCCGGCACAGGCCTCCAAAAAGGATGGCAAGGTGGCCGTGACAAAGAGCGGCCCGTACACCAGGCCCAAGCACCCCAAGGTCAAGTGCACCATGTGCGACGACAACCCGCAGGGCTTCCGAGGCGAGCACGAGCTGAAGCGCCATGTTGAAGCGAAGCATGCCGGCGTTGTCAGGAAGTTCATTTGCCGAGATCCCGCCCTCTCGGGCATGCCCACCGCTGTTCAAGCTCTTCACCCCCTCAGCAAGTGCAAGCAATGCAAGGCCAAGAAGCAATACGGTGCTTACTATAACGCAGCGGCACACTTGCGTCGGACGCACTTCAAGCCCAAGGTTGCCCGGGGCAAGAAGGCGCGCGGTGACGACGAGGAGAAAGCGTGGTGGCAAGGGCGGCGGTGACTGGCCACCGATGAACGAGCTGAAGGCCTGGTTCGAAGAAGTGTATGTGCACAGCAGCGAAACCAACGATGCGGACGAGGAGGAGGACGACAATGAAGCAGCCAATACGGCCATGACGGCGATGGATATGACGTTCCCAGTCATCGGCAACAAGCTGTCCCAGGAGCCGGACTTTCCCGGGTACAGCATAGGTCCCGAGCTGCCACTCGACACGATGTCTCCTGACCAGCCCGCACTCATGTCTGCGGCCACCTTTGAGTTTACTCCCTATGCCACGTTGTCGCCGGTGGGCATGATGCCATCCGATGCTACCTTCTCGGCTATGAACGCTTTAACGTCGGCGAATTGCAGTAATCAACTGTCGCAAGGATTCATGGTTGACGAATACGCGCCCTTCCCATTCAACATGTCTGGAGCAGTCTGATGCCCCTGTCAACAACTCGGGTATTGGGTGCTGGACGCAGCCATATGTGCGTTTTTTTGACACGATACACTGTCGTTACACACGCCCTGATGAAAGATACAAGAGGAAAACTCTGAGGCAAAAGAAACAAAAAAGAAAAACCAAAAAAAAAACCAGAACGAGCATACGAGTAACGGCCACTGCGACAACGGGCGGCTTCACGATATTGCCCTGCTGCCGACCAATTTACTTCTAGGTCGTAGCGATTGAAACGGCCTTAATTCTTGGAACCCTTTTTTTTTCTTTTTTCCCCCCAAGGTCTATTTACTTTCCTTAAAAGATGGTACGGAATACGTTCGGGCCCAGTGGGATGTGGTAACAGCATCCCATGCTCTTCAGGAGCCCATGTCTCGACTGGTGTCAGTCAGGCTACACATGATCCATTTGTACATAGACGGTCTGGAGCACAACGTTGGAAGGACATCCGATGAGGACAGGATCGGCGCCCAGAGCCCTAGCAGGGCAGGCAGGTACGGGCAAAAGGAGGCCTGCGCACGGCCTGGTATGCGAATTCTAGCGAGGCGTTGGGAATCATTTGTTTTTGGAGCGGGACAGGAAGTGTGTAACTTGGTATGGGAACCGGGCAAATGGGTGTTGACTTGGGGTTGCTTCGGCTCTGCGGAGGAGCACTGGATAGGGTGTGGTGGCGGTGTACCAATGAAGCCGCAAGGCCGCAATGCAGCTTGGCCGAGCTCGATGAAGATGGAAATTTGATCTGCCTTGATGCATTTCTCACTTTTTGTCACGCAACTCGCATGCGACATGATTTGTGATGTCTTGATCGATGTTGGGCCTGACCCCTATTCTGGTT